AGTAATTTTGAAATCACTTTTCTTATTAAGGAGGTGTTTGGAATTGATTCTGTGTTTATTTTTAAAGCAAACGTAGAATCAGAATCAGTTTTCAGAAGTTGGTCCTCCTAGTTTCTAAAACCATTGATTCTAGGAGTAAATTAGAGCACTTTAATCACTTTTACACTTTCACTCAAGCAGTTTTAAGAATCATATCCACTCCTATAACTCCTATATTGACTAATATTACCGTTGGATTGCCGCTGCCGGCCGCCAAAAATCCGACACTGTCCATCGCCGCCTTCACCTGTATTCTGTTGCCATTGTCGGAATGACCTAATTATGTTGGGGGAGTAGCAGTCAAGTAATTATATTATAAGTGAAAATGTAATGTTGGTCTTATTCAAGAAAAATAAAACACGAATTTCCATTTATCGAATACTACTATATTTTAATACACTACTACTTGGTGCAATTTTCTTTAAAGCAAGGTAGTATCACTATATGAAGGTACTTCGTAATTGTTTTTATTGGAACACATAAAACTAATAGACATCGAGCTCATGTTTAAAGCCAAGTCTAGAATGGGACTAAGCCGGAGAGCCTTTTGTCCTAACAGCACTGTCAGCGCATGAGTTAGTTAGCGTAAATCTATTCACAGTTCCTAAATTACCATTTACAATCACTAATTTAATCATTAAGAATAAAAATAATTCTAATACATAAGATACCCTAATAGCTAGTTACCTAAAAATTCCTCCAAATTATAGCTTGATAAGAACCTTGTTTGGTTCATCAAATAAATTGGGGACAATTTTGAAAGAGAAAGGGCCCTCTTCCATGTATTATTACGAGAAATGCCAAAAAGGCATCCTCAATCACCCACCAACCCATCCCATTCGTATCAAGCAGCATCCTTGAGGAGAAAAGGTCTGCAAATCACCATTTTCATCCACCATTTACGTATCTAAGCAAGGAGAGGAAGAAGGAAGGAAAAAGAAGAAGAGAAATAAAGAAGTTAGGAGGAAGACTTGTGGTTAACAAGGTAATGACTTCACTAATCCCATTTCTTGTATTTAATCATATTTCATACTTTTAGGATTGTTCTACACATTTAAGAGTGTGGAATGTGGGTTGAGAGATTGATGGAGTATATTCCCATATACCCCAGGGGTATCGCAATCGCCGGTAGAAAATGTCGCGGATCCATCAGGGGTGCAAGAAAAACTAAGTCCAAAGATCTGGGAACGATCCCCGATCCCGACCCCAAGGTCGGGAAAGCACCAAGCTCAGAGATCGACAGGATCCAGCGGATAACGAAGGTTATGTTATGGTCATTTATGTAATGTTGTTGTCTTTATTAATTTCTTTTAATGTAATGTTATAGTGATGTCATATGTGCCCAACCATGTTCATATATATTTATTATATATCTTACATTTCTCTTGAGGATATATCATTATTGCTACAATATACAACTTTTTGTGTAACAATTAGGCTCATTCAATTATTTCCCGCAATGAATTTAGAAAAACTCTATAAAACGTGCATCGCACGGGTGATTTACTAGTAACTCACCCGTGCGATGCACGATTGGAGATTTTTTTTTCTATGTGTGTTATGGGAAATAAAAAGAAGTATATAACTACTTAGGACAACATATATGTTGTAGCAATTTGATATATTTAATGTTGTCAAACTAAGATAATCGGAAAAACAAATAAATGCTAAGCACACATGTAGTACTCCGTATTATTATTATTATTATTATGAAGAGAGTACTAAATATTAGCTAAAAGCATGAAAACATCCAAAATAATCATGAGTGCTATTCTATTGTACTACGTATAAGTTTATTTGATACAACCCCATTAGACGTTGTTGAATACTTATTTGAATACAACATTTTGAGTCTTGACATCAATTTTTTTTATCTTCATCAATCATCACATATTAAAATTTTCAAGCCACGACGATTGGTCACTCTTGAAACTGCAACATACAACTGCTCGCGGGTAAAAACGGGCTTTTTCAACAACCCTACGCGGGACAAAGATCGATCATGTTTTTTATTTATTGTCATTGCATATGAGGTCATAATAGGATACTGTCTTCTTTGAAATTTGAACGGCAAGGAGCATCAGAAGGGGTCAATGACAATTTTGGGATCAAAACTTTTTGTCCAGCACTTACATCGGTTAAAATACTTCCCTCCAAAACATGATCACCGAGCCTCGTTAAAATAAGACGGGTTCCATTGCACAACCCCATCGAATGATCTATATTACGCAATAACATTATAGGAGTCCCATCTTTAGTGTTAACTCATGATTTGGCACACCAGATAGTTTTATACTCCTTCCGTCCCATAAAATTCTTCCCACTTTCGTTTTTGGGTCGTCCCAAAAAAATCTTTCCACTTACCATTTTTGACAATTTGTGTGGTTCACATTCATTTCACTTTTTTCTTACACAACCACAACCATACATTTTACTTTATCCACTTTCTTAATCTCCATGCCAAGTCAAACTGGGAAGAACTTTCCGGGACAGAAGGAGTACTATTCAAGAACTCTGGTGTGTGCAATTCAGCCATTAACTTGGTCATAGAATCTACCTTAGAAACAGTGGCGGAACCAGGCCGGGGCGAGCCGGTGCTGGCGCCACCCCTTCGCCGGACGTTTCAAGGTAGTAGTAGGAGATATTTTCATCCCGCCCCTGTATCTCCCGTCATCTTCCTTCTCGTTTTGTTTCCAGATCTGGTGCCCAGGTGTTGCTATGTTTGGCTGTTAAAATGCTGACCAATCATTTTAATTGGCTTAGTTCAACGACGACGTTTGGCTGTGTTACTAAAAGAGAAACGAAACGGGCTCCAGGGGCGGATGGCTGTGAGGGCAGGAGTGAGCTCCAGCCCAACCCAATTTGTATATTTTAATTAGTGTAGGTATAGATTTTATTATCAGTCCATCCCAAAATAAAGAAGCTTAATTAACTAATGTTGCTTTACCACCGTCAAATTGATCTTGTAACAGGTCTCATCCTTCGATCTGTTACCGTTTTTGGGCATAGTTTCAATATGCTGAAAATATTTTGTTGAGGGGGCAGATGAGGTATTAGATGGTGGTGCCAGTTATTTCCTTTGGTGTAGAAAGGCTATTGCTGGGTTTGAAGTGATTTCCTTTCCCTAACGGCTGCTGCGATGATATGCCAAGGAGAACCAGGAGAAGTTTATCGTATCTTTAGCAACCTATTGTTTATTATTAATTTAGTTTTTTTTGTTGATTTCGATTTGGGTTTATCTTTGGTACTTCCTTGAAATCAAAGTATCTATATAGATTATATACAAACTCCTAAAATGCTAATTTTGGATTTATGAATATAAAAACAACTAGAAACATAAAGAAACAAAAGAAAACAAAAATTTCAAAACTATCAACAAAAAGAAACACAAAGAAACAATACAACAACAACAACATCCAAGCCTTAGTCCCAAACGAAATTGGGGTCGGCTAACATGAATCGATATATGATATCACCAAAAGGAAAAGAACGAAAATAAAGATAAAAAAGATAAGCTATTATAAAAAAAGATACTATAAAAGAGATGAATATACATATAAAAGATCAAATAAAAAGGATAAAGTAATATTTATATATAAGGATAAAAATATAAAAGAAAAGGAAAAGAAAAAAAAGAGGAGAAAAAATGATACAAGATCACTCTTCCACACGAATACCCGCCCTCCATTTTGCTCTCTCCAAAGCCATACTCTCATCCAATCCAAGAAGAAGCATATCACTTCTGACTCCCCTAACCCACGTCTGTTTGGGCCTTCCTCTCCCTCTCTTCCCTACCTCTTCTCCACACATCTCAACTCGTCTGATAGGTGCATCACTCGGTCTTCTATGCACATGACCAAACCACCGTAGGCGTGACTCCCGCATCTTATCTTCAATAGGTCTATGTCTATGTCTAAAGAAAATACATTAAAAAATTTTAATTTTTAATATTTTCAAAATTTTTAAGGTTTATTTTAATTTTTAATATTTTATTCCTTAGTTTATTTTAATTTTACACCTTTTTAGGTTACACCAATTTTTTGATTATTTATAACTCTATGAACTACGGAGTACTTGTTTATCATTTTTTATTATATAAAATTTAATTTAAATATTTTGAACATTTTCAAATTTTATATATTTATTCGATTTTTTATTTATAAGATGCATATTTCCAATAATTTCAAACTAATAACTTTTTTAAAAAAAAAAATCTAATTTGTTTTCATACTATTTAACAGTTTCAAATATTTTTTATCTTATTTCATAAAAATTCGTTTATCATTATTAGTTTTAATTTTTCACTAATCTGTAAGTACTTTTTTAATTAAATTTTCGATTTTTATATTTTTATATAAATTTATTAACCATTTTAAACTTTTCATATATAAAAATCGTATTTTTTACATTTTTATAATTTCCCCACATATTTAATTATTTTAAATCTTTTTTATTTTTAATTTCAAACGATATATTTTTTAAAATTGAAATTTGTTTATGATGTTTTAAACTTACTTTACAAGATTTCATCATAAAATCTTTTTTAGGTTTTTTTTCTGTACTTTGAGTATTTTTTACTTTTTAATTTAATTTTAGTTTTTTACGTCTATTGTTTTCTAATGATTATCCTTTTACTGAATTTTAATGAATTTGAAAATTTTCTATGTAAAAATAAAATTTTGACTAATTGTTACACCTGAGCATCTAAACCTTGGTAAGATTTAAAACCTACGTGCATTTGATCTGGATATCCCCAATAGTAGCGTTCCGGTAGATGTGGCTACTTTATATATGTAGTCTATTTTTGAAAGAAAAAACGTAACCAGTCTACTTTTGAAAATAAACTTTGTTGGTGATAAAAGTGACATAATTTTCACTTTTCGGCTTATTGTGATATTTTCCCAAATTTATTCCCTGCCCAAAATTTATTTCCAGTCCCAGCCCACAGCCCAAAGCCTCAGTATTCAACTTCCTAGCGAACGCGAAAGAAAGAAATTAGAACAAAGACGGAGACACGAGCGAGCTCTGCTACGAAGCGCGAACTCCATCAGCCGCGCCGCGTTCCGCCGTCCACGCCGCGCTTCCAGCCATCCAGGGGACTGCGTCGTCGCCCACTTGGCCGTCCTTCCTCTCTGGGCTCTGCCTCCAGCTCTGGCGCAGGTAAGTCTTCAGATTTTTACTCTCTTATTTTGTGAGATTTTGTTAACTTGTACATTAGAGAATGATTTGATTATTAATTGAAATTTTTACTCTCTGCCGTCCTTGGGTTAGATTGGTTTGATTATTAATTGAAATTTTCTATGCATAATAAAATAGATCTAATGGGGCAAAAATTTATTATAAATTTATAGTGATTAAATATAAAATTAAATCTTAGAGAATGATTTATTGATAATACAATTGAAGATTAGAGAATGATTTGATTATTGTCTGGACACGTAAGAAAAAATTGAAGAATTCAATTGAATTTTGAAATTGGGAATACTTATTAATTTTATGTACAATGTTTTTTTTCTTATTAGTTTTATAATTTTATATTTTTATAGAACTATTTTGATTCATATCAACATTGAAAATGTTTTTTAGAATGGATAATGAACATATTAACATTAAAAGGAAGAAGTTGATTTAGTCAATCTTTCATTTTTTCCCTCAGCCCTACCCATTGTAATTTTCTGGATCCGCCCCTGTAAACGGCGTCAGCCGCGTCGCATGTTTTGAAGTTACGGACGGAGTATTATTGCTTCGTATATTATTAGTATAGTTTTCCGTATTATTAGTTCAGTGAAGCCCTCATAGAATAGGCGGCAGATAATCTTCATGGAATCGGCGACAGCGGCGAAGCCTAAAGGTCGACAGTGCGTTATCTGTAATGAAAGACGCGCCGCCCTGAAACGCCCTAAAAACCTTCAACCTGTAAGTAGTTGTCGTCGTAACCGTTTCCTTTTTATTGCATTTCTTATCTTCTTCTTAATTGCACCGCTGTTGTTTTTGCTAAGGAAAGATATGTAGGGAATGCTTCTACGCAGCTTTTGAAGAGGAGATCCACATGGTTATCGTGGACAACCACCTCTTCAAGCCTGGCGAACGCATCGCAATTGGTGCTTCCGGTGGAAAAGGTCCAAAATTTACTTTTACCTAAGATAATGTTGTGCTTTGAATTTGTAGATATATCCATATTTATGTCGGTTGAGGAGCTAGGTGCATTGATAAGCGTCCCACTTCGAGCTTAAAATTAATACTACCAGTCATAATATAATGAATACCCCTCCTTTGTTCTCCAAATGTTCAAAATTAGTACTACTACTTTGTAATTTCGAGTAAGAGGTCTTTGATTCAAGGAGATAGTATTCCAAGCTTTCCTAACCAATCTATTCTCATGTTTAAAATGCTAGAATGCTAGATTAATGAGATTGATGAGATTAGACTAAATAAAAATGTTGTTAGAGATGAGATTAATAAGACTAATAGGGACAAACGAGCCCAAACAGAAAGTACATGTGAGTGAGATATAATCAGTGATCCAGCATTATGAAAACCACGAACTTCTAATGTTAGAGATGATGCGAGGAGAGAACATGTTGTTAAAGGTGCTCATCAACCATTATCTCATAATTTCCCACGAACTTCGTAGTGTTTCTAAATATGCCGGTATTTTCTGTTGGTGTTAATTTTTTCATCGAGAAGAACGAAAGAGATTTGGAAATGATGTATTTGTGAGAACCATGTTTCGTAATTAGAAGAAGGCTTTTAATAAATATAGGTAGCATGTAGATTGTGGAAGTGCAGGTAGTGTACACGATGATGCTAAAACATTATTTTTTCTTTTCAAAAATCAAAGACAAAGTCTTTCAAGAAGTGTATCTTCAAGAATACAAGTATTGGGAACAGCATACCACACTTGCTTGAATGCAAGTGTGGATTGTGCTCGATTCTTAATGGTACAAGGGTTGTCTTTCCCTAGTCATAAAGAGCGAGAAAGTTCATTGAATAGAGAAAATTTCTTGAAATCGTTAGATTGGTATGGTGCTCGTAAAGTTGATGTGGCGAAAGTGTGAAAGATAAAGCACCATCAAAGCTACTCAGTGTTGTAGAGTTATATTCATGCGATTTTTCAATTGTTGAATAAATGAAGCTTAAAGAACAACTTCAAATTTGGATATATCATATATGAGATGAGAGGAAATCAAACATTTTCTACCTTGCAAAGTATTGTAGAAGTTTTTAAGAAGATGGTTGAGCTTAGAAATCATAAACTTTTCACTTGTTATATCATCTCATTGAGTTGCTTACTTGCTTTAGTGTTACTAGTTATTGACTTACAACAGTCACAATTGAAAGAGCCTTCTCTGCGATGAATATATCAAGAGATTCAAGACTGATCTTCCTAATAGGATATTAGGATGAGTGATGATTTACAACAGTTACTAATTCTTATGAATTAACCTTCTATGTCGAAAGATATATTTTTCAAACAATTGATAATAAAGTTATTATGCATTATTTTCAACATATGAAAACTCATAGGATTGATGTACCCAAATTGTGAGAATGAGCCAAGTAGTATGTAATGAACAATAATTTGTGCTAATGTATTACATTTTTGTTGTTTTTATAATATTTTGTGCAAGTACACAATAATTTTTAGTCTTTGGTAGTTGGTATGCCTCCTTTGACAAACCTCTGGCTCCGTCACTGGCTCACTGCTTAATGTCCTCGTACTTATATGACGACGACAACAACAACAACAACAACAAAGCCTTAGTCCCAAAGGATATTGAGGTCGGCTAACATGAATCGATACATGATATCACCACCAAAAGGAAAAGAAAGAAAATAAAGATAAAAGGTAAGCTATTAGAAAAAAGATAATATGGAAAGAGATGAATAAACTTAAAAATGATAAAATTTAAGGATAAAAGTAATGTTTATATATATATAAGGATAAAAGAATAAAACAAGAAGAAGAAGAAGAAGAAGAAGAAGGATGAGGGGAAATAAAAATACGAGATCACTCCTCCACCCGAATTCCCGCCCTCCACTTTGCTTTCTCCAAAGTCATACTCTCATCCAACCCAAGAAGAAGCATATCACTTCGGACTCTCCTAACTCACGTCTGTTTGGGTCTTCCTCTCCCCCTCTTCCTGCCTCTTCTTCACACATCTCAACACGCCTGACAGGTGCATCACACGGTCTTCTATGCACATGACCAAACCATCGTAGGCGCGACTCCCACATCTTGTCTTCAATATGTTCTACTTCCACCCTTTGTCTGATTGTCTCGTTTCTCACATGGTCCTTCCTAGTATGTCCACACATCCAACGCAGCATGCGCATCTCTGTCACGCTCATCTTTTGAATGTGACATTGTTTCACCGCCCAACACTCTACGCCATACAACAAAGCAAGCTTAATTGATGTCCTATAAAATTTATCCTTCAGTCTAGTCAGCATACCTTTATCACATTAAAATCTTGACACACTCTTCCACTTCATCCATCCTGTTCTGATTCTATGAGATACATCTCCATCTAACTCCCCGTCCTTCTGAATTATGGAGCCCAAGTAATGGAACATATAACTGACCGGTATCTCCTTACCATCTAGAGTAATTCCACTATTATCACTGCTTCTACCTCCACCAAATTTGCACTCCATGTACTCTGTCTTGCTCCGACTTAGTCTAAAACTTTTGTTCTCCAATGTTTGTCGTCATACTTCCAACTTTGCTTTAAGACCTGATTGCGTCTCATCAATCAATACAATATCGTTGGCAAACATCATGCACCATGGTATTTCATCTTGAATTGACTTCGTAAGTTCATCCATGACTATGGCAAATAAGAAGGGGCTCAGAGCAGATCCTTGGTGCACTCTGATAGTAATAGGGAACTCCGCAGTCCTCCTTACATTAGTACGGACACTTGTAGTACAATCCTCATACATATACATGATGATGCTGATATACATATCCATAAATGATGCTGATATATGCCTTTTTAGTTAAGGCCCACCAAAGAAGTTCTCGAGGTACCCTATCATAAGCCTTTTCTAAGTCAATAAACACCAAATGTAGATCCTTTTGAGCATCTCTATACTTCTCCATAAGTTGCCGAAGAAGGTGAATGGCCTCGGTTGTTGAGGGACCATGCATAAAACCGAATTGATTCTCTGAAATCTTCACAGTTCTTCGAAATCTTTGCTCAATCACTCGCTCCCAAAGTTTCATGGTGTGACTCATAAGCTCAATTTTCGATAGTTGTCACATTCTTGTATATCACCTTTATTCTTAAATAAGGGGATAAGAGTACTCTTCCTCCAACTCGTTGGCATCTTGTTGTTTCTCCAAATCAAGTTGAAAAAACTTGTTAACCACTCGACGCCTCTTTCCCCCAAACTTCTCCAAGCCTCGATCGGTATGCCATTTAGGCCACTGCTTTCTTCCACCCCATCTTCCTCAAAGCCTCCTTAACTTCTGTTGATTGGATCCTTCTCACAAAATCACGATTTACCATACAATCTGGTATGGTCAAGTCACCAATATCTTGCGATTTATTCCCGTTGAGTAGTGTTTCAAAGTATTACCTCCACCTCTCTTTTATCTCTCCGTCCTCCATTAGTACCCTTTGATCGACATCATTCACACACTTAACTTTTCCTATATCTCGAGTCCTACAGTCACGAAGACGAGCAAGTCTATAAATATCTTTTTCTCCTTCCTTGTAATCCAATTTTGCATACAATTCCTTGTTCACTTTTTCTCTTGCTTCCTTTACAGCTTTCTTTGTTCTTCTTCTAACCTCCTTGTACTCCTCTATTTTCTCGTCGCTCCAACTTTTGCCCAATTTCTTATAGCATTCCCTTTTGATCCTTATTGCTTGTTTCACCTCATCATTCCACCAAGATGTGTCCTTTTTTGTGGTAGACATCCTTTAGATTCTCCAAATATCTCTTTCGCCACTTTGTTAAAGGTGGACTCCATTGATAACCACACATCATCCACCTGTGTGTCATTATCAATGGACCATACATTTTCCTCCAACATTTTCTGCGTAAAAGTTTGTTGGAGATTCCCCTCTAGCCTCCACCACTTGTATGACAAATCAAGCAAAAATAAGATTTTTCCTATTAAATATTTAATTTTCATGAATATTGGAACTTTTGGATATCCAGCAATGAAAAGGCAAGTAAGAACTTGTTTTGGGACTATTTTGGGATGGATGTAGTATGTATTTAGTGAAATTATGTTGAAATATTTCAAATATTTTTTTATTGGTTTTACGCATCGTATAGAAATCATTCATGATTGTGTGACTATTGACCTCAATGTTCACCAAGTTAAAACACAAGAAGGAATGGATATACACTAAAATGAAGACTTTTTTTCCTGTTGACATGTTAGTCTGATAATTTCATTATGCTTTGTCAGTTTAAAATTTAGCTTCAAAGTTTCTTTTTACTGCTAGAAAATGAGCTTTTTACTTTTTATTTGATACTATTAGGAATATCTGATTCAGCTATCGTGCCTTGTATCTTGACTTTATAATGCATTATTTGTTTGAGATTTATTGAGAATATGGCGTAGATGACTTCACTTTTTATTATATATGTGACAATAATTCATGTGATGAATTCCATTTCTTCTGCTAATTTAATTCTTACAGTTCAATAGTGCCTTGATTTGATTCCTTTTTATTTTTCTTCTTTGTTTGTCTGTGGTGGTTCAGATTCTACGGTGCTTGCATATGTCTTGTCAGAGCTGAATCAAAGGCATAACTATGGACTTGAACTCTTCCTTTTATCTGTGGATGAAGGCATCACTGGATACCGGGATGATTCTATTAAAACTGTTAAAAGAAATGAAATTCAGGTCGGCATTTGACATTGCGTTTGTTAAAAGTCTTTTTGTGACCATTGAACCCGTGCAGGTGTGAAATTTTGTGTTCAAGTATTCATTCATACTTTTTAATGGTTCTGGGTCTTATTGTTTGTATTTGCTAGTATGGACTTCCACTAAAAGTTGTTTCCTATAACGAGTTGTATGGGTGGACAATGGATGAAATAGTAAAGTTGATAGGTCTGAAGAACAACTGCACTTTTTGTGGCGTTTTTCGTCGCCAGGTAAAGTAATATCTTTGCTTCACTTTCTCTACACTATGGATGCACAAATGGTATCTTCTCAATTCAAATATTCGGATCGTAAATACTCCTTCCGTCCCGCTAAGATTGTCTCATTTTTCCTTTTCGGTCCATCCCACTAAGATTGTCACATACCGAATTTTGGTAAAGTTTGTATTCTTCTAAGACATTCTTAATTTATCAATTCAATATCAACCACATAAATCCACTTTTCTTAATAACCACTTCACCTCATCATGTCTCAATGTTAGTGGGACGGAGGTAGTATGTGTTTTGGTTTAATCGGTTGACAATGAGAAAAAGCACTCCGTGTGTTACTTTTTTGGCTGGAATGGTTGAAATAGAAGAAAATGACACTTCTTCCTTTGCATTATATATTATTTTCTTTTATTGATGGAAAATTATATTGTAAGTAATCTTTTAGATACCAGCAAAATTCCAGCATCACATTGCAAGCAATTTTAACAAATTTTGCCACATGAGTCATTTTAGTTCTTTTCTTTAGATAGATTTCTGAGAGTAAGAATGTGGAAAGTTGCTCCACATTAATTAAGCATTGAAGGATAAAGTTAAGAAATAATAATAAATGCTGTTATCAAGTAGTTGTGTTTTTTAAACAAGGAAGGCCCTTGACCGAGGTGCTGTTTTACTGAAAGTGGACAAGTTAGTAACTGGGCATAATGCTGATGATATAGCAGAAACAGTCCTTTTGAACATTTTGCGTGGGGATATTGCCAGGTAGCAATTTCTTTTGTAGGTTTTGCATGACCTATTATCTTTCCCCCCCTTTTATTTGTGAAGATTCAGTTAACACGGTCAAATATTCCTGAAAATGCACTAGGCTGAGTAGATGTACATCTGTAATTACTGGGGAAGATGGACCGATTCCAAGATGCAAGCCTTTCAAGTACACCTACGAGAAGGAAATTGTTATATATCCTTCAATTCATTCATTTTTGCTTCAGAACATATCCTTTATTGATATTTTTGTTTTTGAGTACCTCTTCATTTCTTGTAAACCTCTAAAGTAAATTTCTTATTCTCGTCATTACACTATTATTAATTGCATTTCCTTAACTTATTGAGTACGTATGCGTACTTTAAAAAGTTGGATTACTTCTCCACTGAGTGTAAGTCTAAATCACATCTACTTTTTATATTTGTTATGTTATAGTATTACGATTACAACTAGTTTGTGCGGTTCAGGCATTTACTCTCCAAATGCATACCGTGGCTTTGCTCGTGAGTTTATTAAGGATTTAGAGAGAATCAGGTTAAAATTCATGTTGGCTTCCATAAGCTGTCTTTCCTTGCTGAAAATGTCTTTCTTATACTATGTCTTTATATGTTCTAATTACAGGCCACAGGGCATACTGGATATAATAAAATCTGGTGAGGACTTCAGGATCTCAACATCCACAAAAATGCCAGAACTAGGAAATTGTGAACGGTGTGGTTATATTTCAAGCCAGGTGAAAAGAAGATGATTTTACATTTATTTTCCTGCCTATTCTCTAGGGGTTAATGGAATAGGAAACAGTTTGTTCTTTTATATAAATCCTCTCTCAAAATGGTTTGCTGACTTTGCTCTTTTATGGCTAATAAGAGCCGGTTTAATAATGGTCGTTTGGGTGAAACGGCTGAATTCACTAAATTATTTGAATGATAGAGCTTTTAGCAGCTGACCCCAAATTTTTTGAGACTAAGGCTTGGATGTTGTTGTATAGAGCTTTTAGTAACATCCATTTCAGCCACTAAAAGAACTAGTATTCTGATGATAAGCAAAATAAACTGAATCATTCTACCAAACTTTTTATGGTTTTTGACTCTTGTTATGGTTTTTGACTCTTTTTATGGTATCGGTTTTTGCTTTTTAGGAAATCACAAACAAGAATACAAGATTCTGAATACTATAAAAAGTTGTATCCATTTTTTTGTTGGCAATTTTCAATTTTAACATGTTTAGTATGAATCTGATTATATTTATGTTCATTATACAACATATATCATGCACTTTTTGATGTCATAAAAAATTCAAAAACTGACGGTGATTCAAATGAGCCCTTGTTTATTTTGCTGAACTGGGTGGTATAATTCCTTAGAGAAAAATCAGTAACACTTACCAAATGGACCCATAAACTTCTGTTCCTCAATTTGCAGAAATGGTGCAAGGCGTGTGTTTTGCTGGACGGGCTAAATCGGGGCTTACCCAAACTGGGCATTGGCCGTAGTCGATGACTAAGCAATAATCTGCAATATCGAGAATGCAAATGAAGAAAATGGGACCACAAATTTGCATAGAAAACAATGTGGTGGTAAATTGGAAGTCTAATACCAAAGTTTTTGCTCGGTATTTGTTTATTATTTCTATAATCAACAATAGAAAGAGATCAATATGAAAAAACCACAATATTTGTGCGCCTCAGATTTGTAACCCCATCCCTACCTCCTCCAACTATCTCTACTATTCAAATTTCGTCATTTTGACAATCTCTTCATAGTCCATAGATACTCCCACAGTCCCACCATGCAGAGTAACTAATCCACATAAAATGTGCTAGTACTCGAGAAACTCTAAGCGGGGCGGGGGGATAAGAGGACAAACTTTGACTGTATACTTGTTTTATTTCACTTATTTGTATCTACATGTTGAAATCTATGTTCAAGTGTAGCTTCACCCCTCATGCTGGATCCTGTCATAGCGACATAGACTCATAGCTTGTCAAAGCTCCTGTGTTATGTTTATCTGGTATGTTAAATGTCATAAAGGCACCCAAAAATGTAATAATAAATTCACACATTCACTGTCATCCTATTATTTCACTCCAAAGCACAAAAAGTTTTGATTTTGTTGATTCCTAGATGTAGTGATTATTCCCCTATGTTCCTTATTAGCACTGATAAAATAGGATTTATCAGTACAATCTATAGGTCTAACCTTCTGCTCAAGACTAAAATTGATAAATCAAATCTAGCATTTTTTTCGTCATGCACTCGTGTTTATGGTTGTGCATGCAGCAGCAGCAGCCTGTAATATAAAATTAATCAAGTAATTTTGAAACCCAAATAGTGTAATGTAATCTCAGAATGCCTTTTTTGGTAATCTTGCAAGAATGCAAGTCCAATCATAGAAGTACTCCCTCCGTCCCTAATTGTTGTTCCAAAGCAAAGTGGCACGGTGATTAAGAAAGTGGGAATTGTGTGGTGGAGAGTTGTGCAGAGGAGAGAGAAATGCTGTGAACCACAAATTCTTTGCCAAAAAGGAAAGTGAACTTCTTTTTGGGACGGACGAAAAGGGAAAGTTGGAACTTCTTTTAGGGACAGAGGGAGTAAAATATTAGCTTCCAAGAGAATTTCACATAATTAGAACCAAACGCCTTTGAAGTGACCTTTTAATGCTTACATGGTTTGCAAGTTGCATATGTTTGCAAGTTGCGTACCACTTCCCATCTTAGAGATTCTTGGCCTTATCAAAATTATTTCCATAATAAGATATTCAGATCGGGTTGGGATGTACGGATGCCTTATTCCTCTTCGTTGTTGCTGGCTCCTCTTCTTCCTTGTCGTCATCCTCTAGCTATTCATTAATCTTGGGGAAAATCGCATATATGGTCCCTCACTTATCCCCAGATTAAAAATCTCAGACTCGAGTTTCTCAGATTTCAAATTACACCCCCGAGACCCGAGTTGGCCAAATTACATTAAATGTGCTCCCCGCTGTTAGAAGTCAAGTTAACAATAGCTGGTCTTCCATTTTTTGAGGGTCTGGGAGCTGGGGGGAATGGAGTAATTAGGGCTGAAACTCACTCTATTGAATTTTAACCCTTTTATGTGGCTAGCGGGATTCGAACTCAAGACCTCCCACTATCACGGTAATCTCGCAACCAGCTGGGCTGGAATGCTTGGTTTTCTTATACACACACTTAATATTTTTTTTTGTAACAAGGGGGCTTATATTGATAATAAAACATTCAGCAAGGGATACAAACGACAAAGGAAACACTTCTAGCCACCAACCCTCGGACCAGCTGGAGAACCAATCACCCTGTATAGAGCAATATGATTCGCTTGTCCTATAATGGGTCTATATGAGCCAAACGTGGCCAGAGTAAATCCCCATCACCCATACCTAATGTAAGAGTCTGACTGAAAAACACAATACAGAAAGCAACAACGACATTAATCATGTCGAAGAAACACAACCAGAGTAAAACGAAATTAAATAAACTAAACAGACAGCAAAAATGAACCCCTGCTTCAAGTGTCACCCTTGACGGTGGCTCAGGAGGGGGACGGATCATCAATCCTTCGTCTTGAGAAATTCCTTGCGATCCTACCATCACAAATTCCAAAGACACCTTCTTAACCCCTGCAATTATAGCACGAGTGAACCTGGAATCTCCGCTTGATGGTATTTCTCCAACCGAAACCAGCAACACAAACGAGCAGGCCATGACCCAAGCGAAACCTTCCCTCCGCTGCGATCAACGAACTGTTGTGCGCCAGACTCAAGCCCATTCCAACCCAACCAAACGACTCGAGCCGACGCCGTCCCCCCTTTGCGATCGAAGGGAAGAAGAAAACGCCGCCGAGAAAATCCCAACACTAACTATAGGGAGACGTCCGCGATGTTTTTTTCAAGTAGATAATAAAAATATAAGTAGTAAAAAAATAAAAATAAAAATATAAGTAGATATGATAAGTACATAACTAATTTAAATACATCTAAAAATTGTTCTAAGCGCTGGGCGGTGGTCGGGCGTCCCGATTTTTGTCTAGGCGCTCCGACTAATTGAATTTCCGTCTAGGTGAATTAGTCGGCCGACTATGGCGCCTAGTTGCCCGCCTAGAGCGTCTAATCGGCCGCGTAGGCCGTCTAGATTCGCCGAACATTACTTCACTTTTTAATGAAGGGAGCTCTACATTACAGAGAGTCAGAGAGTTTGAATATTCCTCGCAGACGTCCTTATATATTAAGTTTGTATGGTAAATCGTCTAGGGATTCTGCTAAGACCTTGATTTGATTAGTGCTTAATATATAAGGCCATATGGGTCACACAACAAGTGATTATACCTTCCGATTGAATTGTTAGAAGGAATTAAATATTATTAATTGGATTAAATAATATTTAATTCGTAATGCCGAAATTGGATTAAATATTAATTAGATTAAACATATTTAATTCATGAAGTTGAAGGATATTTCTATTTGATAGAAATAGTTGAGTAAGATAATCAGATGTATTATTCTTAATTAAGATGTATTTATTATTTAAATAAAGTTAGTATTTTATAATTTAGAATTAAAAGAAAGTTAGAATATAAATAATTATGAAGAGAGGAAGGAGTGGCGTGAGCCATCCTCCCCTCTAATCATTATTTATATTTTTTTATTTAATTAACTAGTTTTCAAGCCGGTGAATTGTGATGCACAGGAAGTGTGTAATTTAGCTAGTTTTAAATTTGATTTTTTTCGGGGTATTAAATAATTTGATACAAAAGTAAATTAAACTCACTCTAATATAGAGTCTGTTTGATAATACTAAAATTGGTTGAATTAGCTTATTTTGCTGAAATTTATTAAATTGTGGTTGGATGGGCTGAATAGGTGAAATCTTCTAAATGATGAAAAAAATATGTAAAATATATTCCATTTGTAAAACAAAGAAAAAAGTCTATGAAAAATATTTAATATGATCTTCTACATAAGCATCTCAAGTAAATATAATTATTTTTTTGGCTAACAAGTAAATATAACTGTTTTGAACCCGATATTAAAGAATTCATAATCTCCCGTTCTCTAAATTACTTTATTATGCACCTCAAGTTTTTTTCTAATACTCTTCATTCAAATTCAACTTGATATGAAATACTGAGTACATACTATAATCTTTTAATAATAAAATGTTACGGAGTACATTTTACTCATTATTTCGTCACATTGAAAATGTAAAGAAGGGAGCTCTCTTAAATTAATTTTTTTTTTATTTTTGTGATAACTTATTGTAAAATTATAATATAAATAAAAAATGTACGTATTCTTATGATGCTCTAGTTATCTTTGTAGCATTCGTATATTCTTATGCCACTTTCAACGTTTGGTTGGCATTGAGAAACAGGTTTCCTATCCAGGATAGCCTCGGTTACCTACATATAGTTAATAGGTGTGACTTATGCAAGGGTGGATTGGAGACAATTCCACACCTATTTTTCCAATGTCCATTTTCTTGCAGGGTATGGGATAGAACTAAAGCATGGATTGGACTTGGGCATCAGATGACTACGCTCCTAAGTGCAATCAAGTGGATCACTAAGACGCACAAAGGAGCAACCTTGAAAGCTAAGACTGGGCGGCTTGCATTCTGTGCCGTGGCCTACTACATTTGGCAAGCGCGAAATGAGATGAGATTTGATAAAGGGAAGAAGACGGAAGATGACGTGGTTGCTAAGATCAAGCGTGTGGTCTACAAGATACTCTTCAGTATCTACCCACATGACTTGATCAAGTTTTGAAGTGGAGCTAAAGACTTTTTGGGAAGCTACGGCTTAGCCTCTATATATACCGGATTTGTGTGCGTGCACCTTGTAGCACCATTATAGTTTTGATTTTTGACTTATTAACCGCTTATTTTTGCGTATAGGTCGAGATTGACTTATACTAGACTATTAGCCTCTTCTCACCCTTTCCTTTTCTCACGAAATAGGAGGGGGATGGGGGCTTTTGATTTTTGGACACATTGTACTTGTTATATTTTTCTTGGGTGTTAATATAATTTACATTTCATCCAAAAAAAGAACTCCCACATAAGATTCAACACGCTCAATTTCCAAAACTAAGATTTAATGCCTAAAAATCATAACTAAAATAATACTCCCTCCGGATCTTTTTAAACTTTACAGTTTAACTTTACATTGACTTAGAAAATAAATTTGACTTTACTGTAGAGTACACTATTGAGACACTGTTTGGCACTGTTGAGAGACTGTTTGACACTGTTTGCAGTGGAGGACCTAAGGGGGGCTATGTGGGGCTAGTGTGCCCCCGCTTTGGATCCGAAATTTCACTAGTATCACTTAGGGCAAGACTAAGTTTATTCACAAGGCCGTGCCTAATGTTGAGGCCAGTGAGGCATAGGCCTCAGGGTCCAAAATCAGTAAAAAAATTAGGGGCCCAATTTTTAAAAAACCTTTATATAAATATATACACAAATACTCCGTATTTTTCAATTATTGTGTTGTTGGTTGGTATATTTTGAAAGACCTAACTTGTTAGTTAATTGCTATCATGATTTTTGTTCTTCTACTTAAATTTCGAGTTTTAATTATTGATTTTTTGGTAAAACTTGTGAGTTTTTTCTCGAAATAATGCTAATTAAATAAATAATTCCCAAAATACTTTTGGGTTAAAAATAATTCCCAAAATACTGCTGGGTTAACCATGGTTAAGGAAAGCCGCCACTTCAAGTGGCGGCTCTTCTCTTACAGTACAAAAGCCGCCACTTGGAGTGGCGGCTCTTATCTTACAACACATTTTATACATATATAAAACGTAGTATGTTTGAAGAGTTCGTTTAAGTATCTTCCCGATAGAATTTTAAGCTGAAATTTGGTATGAATAAACTAGACTTGATGAGGAACATTCTCAAAAAATTTCATCAAAAAATTCCACCTAGAAGACAACTTGATGGTGTTCTCCGCACGGGGGTCCGGGTCAGGATGTCATGACGGTGATGGGACATTTTTATGAAATTTGAGGTGATTCTGAGTCGAATTTTTTGATCAAATTTGATTCTCATGTTCTTCCTAAAGTGTAGGTCATATTCACTAAATTTAA